ACTGACCGGAGCGTTCGGTCAACTTGATCGGAGCGTCCAGTCACCCCGCAGAGGCACATAACGGTTTGTTTTGAATGAGGGGTTATAAATACTTCTCTATTCACTCAAGGGATCACTTTTGCTCATTCCAACAGCTGAGAAACACCCTTGAGAGTGCCAAGAAAAGTAAGGTCCTAGTGAGGTGATTGAGATTTGAGAATCCAAGAGAGAGACCTCATTAGTGAAAGCAAGAGTAGCAAAGTGTGCATCCACCCTTCTCATTAGGCTTGTCGTGGTCAAGTGAGAGTTCGTGCTTGTTACTCTTGGTGATCGCCGTCACCTAGACAGCTTGGTGGTGATTGGGAGCTTGATGATCATCCGGTGGAGCTTGTGGATGACCTAACTCAAGTTGTGAGCGGTTGTGGGTGATTCACTGCGACGGAGTGTCAAAGAATCAACTCGTAGAGAGCACTTGATCCTTGCGCGGATCAAGGGGGAACTACACCCTTGCGCGGGTGCTCCAACGATGACTAGTGGGGAGTGGTGACTCTTCGATACCTCAGCCAAACATCACCGCGTTCCTCCTCTCTTTACTTTGAGCATTTACTTTGAGCAATTCAATTCTTGTCTTTACATTCATAGAATTGCCATGCTAGAGTAGGATTGGAACTTAGATTGCAAGACTTTTTTGTGCGGTAGAATATTAGAAACACTTTCTAGGCACAAGGGGTGAAGTGGGCTAATCGTAGGGTTTAATTATTGCAAAGAAATTTAGAATTAGCCCAATTCACCCCCCCCCCTCTTGGGCATATTGATTCTTTCACTCGTCTTTATGAAGGAGCAGGGTGCAGTCGTCGGGCGAGGCGGAGCCAGCCCTCAAACGTCGGGCGAGGTGGAGTCTGCCCTCAGTCATCGGGCGAGGCGGAGACAGCCCTCAGCCGTCGGGCGAGGCGGAGACAACCCTCAGCCGTCGGGTGAGGCGGAGATAGCCCTCGGACGTCGGGCGAGGTGGGGCCTGCCCTCCGCCGTCAGGCGAGGCGGAGCCTACCCTCAGCCATCGGGCGAGGCAGAGCCTGCCCTCGGACATCAGGCGAGGCGGAGCTAGCCCTCAGCCGTCGGGCGAGGTGGAGTCTTAGCCCTTGGGGGTCGGACGAGGCAGAACCAATCTTCCATCGTTCGGGCAAGAAGTGTAGTAGTGTTCTTGTCTGACCGGAAGCGTCAACGTTCGATGGTTATTAATTCCACCTTATTGGGTACCCCGGTATTAGATCCCCGATAGCTATGGCTTCGGCTTTGGCTTTAGCTAAGTAAATTGAGCTTTCCTAGCTTGTTAATAGTTATCGAAGGGCGCAAAGGATAGGCCTAGGTTGCAGAATGGCTTCTTGTCTCTCAGGGTGTGTATAGCCTGCATGAAATGTGCCACTCTGTTAGAGGGGCTTCATTTGCCTAGCTGCTAAAACCTAGAGGCTACTAACTTGTTAGAGGGACTTTCGAAAGGCTTTATACTGAACCCTGCCAGCCTTCCTATGATGTGGGTCAAGAGATGAGCTACCTCGGACGAAAGGGTAAATCACGACTCAAGGTGAATGTGTACAACCTCTGCAGAGTGTAAAACTGGTATATTAGCCGTGCTCACGGTCACGAGTGGCCTGGACTTCTTATGGAATAGTTGGATATTATTGCTTTATTATGATACTCATGCTTATCATTAATGTTATATTGCCATTGCCTTAATCATGTGGTTAAAGTGGGTTTTGAGTTCAACATGGCAACTTAAGCTTAATGCTAAAAAGTAACCAACTAAAAATACTTACAGCAGTTCAGCTGTGTCTAGCCTTTGAGCCTTCATTTGCCCATGTTATATTTGTTGAGTAAGACATGTGCTCACTCTTGCTACCCCCACACCCCCATACTATAGAAAAAGTTACTCAGAAGATGGATGAAGACACAGAGTTCTCAGGAGACTGTTAGAAGTTCTTGGCGTATGGAGCCCCCAATCAGCCATCCCTGTGAAGAATGGAGCCTGAAGATTAGTTATTGTTCCACGATACTCTGATGTAAGTGTTAATATAGCTATGTATATGTTATTTAATAACATTGTTTCTGATACTATTAATTCTATTGTTATTTGTGTGGACTTCCTGGGCATACATATGGCAAGCTTAGTTTCCTTAGAAAAACTGGGCGTTACAGAAATCCATGCTAAAAAAAGCATGAAGAAAAAAAGGGAGAAATAATATCCATGCCAAAATGTATGTGAGAAAAAAAAGAAAATAAGAAAAGATAGCCAATGTTTTCTAAAATGAAAAAAGCAAAGAGGGAGAGAGTCATGAAAAAGGAGTCTACACCTAAAAGAGTTTAATTTCCACACACTTGCACTTCTTGATCAAAGTGTATGACTTGTATCTCCTTGGATCCGGTTTTTGACTTAGCAATATTATGTGATGCAAGTATGCCTCTTTATTCATCCCTACCCAAAGCTCCACATAAGCCTTGTTAGAAGTAGGATGAAAAAGAAGGCAATTTTAAAAGCCTTTGGTAAGGATATATACACCGTTAAGCGATTTGAGAGTACCATTTGAGAAGTATGCGCCATGCTTTCAATTTCAAAAATTACAAAAGCTCCAAGTATGCTTCATAGTGGGATAGTGATGACTTGGTGTCAAAGTCGTTCCACTTTTCAACCGCTCAAGGCGACATGGTAGCCACACCAAACTCCACAGGTATGGGAAATGACACGGAATAACTTTTATGCTGGCATCATATCTTTCAAAGTCATGCTTCATAGTTGCATCTACTTTTCCTAGAGGACAAGCAAAGAGCAAGTGTGGGGGAGCTTGTTGGAGGTCCTTAACGCCTAAATTTAACCGCCAAAACTCCACATAAAATCCATTTATTCAAAACAACGAACTTAGTATAGGGTTTATAACTAACGAATTCCACAAGTTTTGGTGTTTATATGTTTTGAAGGACACATGTTTGATTATCAAGGAAAACACATTCAAAATGCGCAAAGAGAAAGCGTAACACCATCTTGTGCAAAGCAAAAGAGCCCAAGGGGGAGAAGGCCCACTACCAAGCAAATCTGGGCCCAAACTAGGTGGAAAACAAGCCCAAATCCGAAGCAAATCATCTCCAAATGGCGCCAAACTTTGTAGGCGTAGCCCATACATCCCCAGAGGCCCAACAGACGAAGATTGGGCCAGGCGGCTCTGTTAGGGTGCGGCCGCACCCCTACAGGCATGTTTCAGGCCCATCTTTCATGGGTTGCCTCTTAACGACGTTCCAAAGGCGGTTGTTAGGATTTGATCCAGGTTCAATGTACCAACAGAGGTTGGTTTGCTCACTTATGAGTGGAATATTCGAGGATAAACCTCCTCCTCTACACCTATAAAAGGAGGCCTCCCCTCACTCCAACACACACCACCAAGGAAGAACTCCACTCCGATTCCAAGATATAGTAGTAGAATAGCTCTAGTTGGGAGTTAGAGACAGATGCTCAAGTTCCTAAAGAGCCCTCGGAGTTCCTGTATAATCTTATATCGATCCTTTGTAAGACTCAAGTTCTTCATATTTATTTTCTCTAATTACTGAAATGTCCTTCACAGTTATTTAGTTTATGCCTTTGTGGTTTAGCTAAGCGTGGTTAGTGTGGTCGTATCACACCTTGGCATGGGATCTCTGCTCGACCGAGTGCTCTACTTTTTACGTGAAACTAAAGTAGTAATCGATAGTATAGACGTGGTGTCTAGACTATAGGTTACCTGAGTTTGCGTCCAACCCCACGGATAGTTGTGGTAGCCCCCAGAGGTGATAGCTCTGATCAGGCCTTTGTAATCCACCATATTCGGGTTGATGTTCTCGTAGAGCTTTTGGCAGCCTTCCCTCGATCACCTCTTCCCAGTCTTATTCGAGGATCGAAAAGGTACTGCTGCTCCTACTTAGTTAATCCCTAGTAATAGAGAAGTATAAAGAAACCTTATGCTTCCCGTTGTCCTCCCAGCTTAACTTGTCTCTTTTATCTTACCGTAGAGTTCTCCTGTGTGTGTTATTATAAAAAAACTTTCAAACACCAAAGCGTTCATGCCGTCATGCGTGGCTTACTCACACTCGGTCGCGTTCATGGCCGTCATGATCGATGGCCTAGTCTCCTCTGCTCTGCTGTAGTTCCCTTTACTCCTAGAAGACAATCCATCTCCCTGGGATCTGTAAAACAAACCTCATAGCCAGCCATCATTGTCCAATGCTCCCAATTCAGAGGCAGCGTAGAAAGACGGCCATCAGCGCGTCACATGCTGGCTCTTCCTGCCGTGTCCCGGCACCTTCCAATGAACAATTGATGGCCGAGGACATCTTTACTGAAAGTCTGAAACGGTGGAACCTGTCCTAGGATCATGGACACGGACATGGACTGGACTGGATCGCACTCACTCAGCACCGCTGCATCGAATCGACTGTCTGAGACCAACGTGAATCGATGGGCCGGGGGCTCTCATGGTGCCACCTCTTTCAGGTGCTGTGCTGCTTCATGGCTGCGTTGCATTTACAAGTGTTCATCTCGGTCGATCTCATGTCGCCGGCCACAGCTTTTTTCTTCGGCATCATTGCTTGCCGTTTCCTCAAATTCTGAAACTCTTCACGGCAATGCCATAAGATCATGCCCAGGTGTTCCACCAGCTATATCATCACATTGCTATTTGCTTGCACTAGTTTTCTTGGTGTTTTCACTCTACGACATGTCCATGAATGATGAATATGAAATGTTTTGCAGCGCTAGCAGAATATTTACATACATGAACACACGCAGAGACAGATGAAATGAGAGACAGATTCTTTCCACTTCTTTAGACACAATTGCCGAACCATGGATGCTGAAGAAACATGGATCGCAAACTCTAATAACGCTGCAGCGTCAAACCACTCTTAGCAGGAGGCAAATACATCAAACACCTTCTTACAGTTACAGTGCAAAAGCCACCCCTTGCAGACGCATTTCGGAGCTGCATCAAACATGTCCATCATCACGAGAAGGTTTCAGGCAGAGGCTGGCCCTGCAGGAACGCTCTGAAGAGCACGAGCGACCGCCCGGGCTGAGAGAAGGGCGCCTCATGGGAGGCGCCCCTGATGGTGGCGAACGACAGCGCGCCGCCTCCGTACACCTGAGTCCATCCTCCAACCTGCATAGGGAAAGGGAGAAGAACATTCAGTTTGCAGCTACTAGATGCATTATTAGTAATTAAGTTTTAAAGCTTGTGCTGTTTGTCACCTGCTGCCCTTCGAACCAGACTCTGTACGGGGTGGTGGTCTTGAGGCCCATGTCATGGGCCAAGTTCTGCACCAGGGTTCGGCTCCCCGTGAGAGGGATCACCGAGTCCTGATCCCCGCTGCGGAAACGTTTCAGGAAACAATAATGGATGTTAGAACATGTATCATGTATTGTAGAGCTTTATATGTTCCTCCCAAAAAAAGTTAATTGAGAGGACCCTCGAACATAAAAGGTTCAGGTACAAATTTGCATCATGTAAAAAGTGATCCATGGCAAGTACTAGTCATGTAATGTCTGTGAGAAGTTCTTGAGCTTTATGTTTCCTCGTGCCCCAGAATCGGAGGCCCCACTAGACAGAAAGTTGAGGCAATTTTTTTTCACAACAACAATCGCCAAAGGAGCAAAAGTACAAAGACGATTTAGGACATTGTTGCATGTACTTAGATTCATTTTTTTGTCTTCCCTCTAATCTAATCAGAGAGTCTTGAACTTCATGATTGATACCAAGAAAGTTGAGAAACACAACAAAAACAGCACTTTGAATCTAGAATCTTTTAGCATTATACCTGTAAACTAGCACTCGGATGCCGGATTTCACGAGCGATCCGACGATGTTGATGGTGGGGATCTGCAGGTTGAGCAGCTCGTACTCGAGAATACTGTAGCAGAACCGAAACATTTGCTATGCGTGTTAGCCCTGTTCAGACAGAGAATCATCGACGAAAAATGTCATGAAATGAAACAGCGATTGCATTTGCACCTGCTGCAGACCGCCCACTTGTCGACGCCGACGAGCCTCGCGTGCAGCGCCGCCTGCACGTCCCGACGGTTGAGGTACCTCACCGTCTCGTCCTCCACGCACACGTCGATCCGCTGCCGGACCTGCTCCTGCGCATTGCAGAAGAGTACATTCTTCATCAGATCAGACTCAGCCGGCGGCCGGGAGATGGAGGTTGCAGCATTGCAGCAGAGCAGAGCTGCAAATAAAGAGAGAGATCGCCGGCGGCGACCACGTACGTGCGGCGAGAGGATCTTGGACTGCGAGAGCACCGAGGAGAGGCAGACGTCGAGCGTGACGTCGTACTTGTCGACGAAGCGGCTGGTCTCGCGCGTCACCTGATTCATCACCCTGGCGCACAGCGGCGACAGCGACCCCCCGTAGTACTCGGTGACGTAGCGGGAGTAGTTGCAGACGGAGGTGAAGACGCGGTACGTGGCGTCGGAGATGAGGCCGTGGGACCAGAAGTACTCCGCGCGGGAGTTGAAGTCCGTCGTGAACTCCAGCACCGGGTTGCCCAGCTGATTGATCAATTCATCGCTCATCATCAGAGGCCAAAAAAAAATGCAGACTTGCAGAAACAGTTTCAGGCTCGATCAGGTGGCTTACAGCGACGCCTCTGAGGTTGAAGATCCTGTCCTTCTTGTTGAACTCCACCATGGCCTCCGCGAGCTGCGGGATGTAGTGCCCTGAATCGCAATTCCAAACAGAGCTAGGCTTAGCATGTTTCTTGATCAAAACCACAAAAGCAAATGATGCTAGCTGTATTGTTGTATATATACTCCTACCTGCGTAGCTCTCTCCGGCGATGTAGAGGTCCCTGCCCTTGTACTGTGGGAACTTTTGGAGCCACCTTTGCAGGAACACCATGTTGTCCATGGCTTCATTGGTCCACCCAGACGTGCAGTGGATGGAGAGGGGGGGAAAGTTAGAAGGGCTCATCATCACTCCCAGTCACAAGCACTGCTACTGCTACAGTTACCACCCAAACAAAAAGACAGAGCAAAGAGCATGCCCCCTCCTTGCGTGTCACTTTTCTTACTACTACTAGTACACCATTTTTCTTCAAAAAAAAAAAAAAAAACTTCTGCTTTTTTGTTCTTTGCTCAAACAAACTGCTAATACTTGGAGGGGCAGATTATCATTAATGATGTGTGTCTGTGTGCGCAAGGACATGAACACTAAAACTAATTAACTAGCCAAGCATATATATACAGAAGATTCAGCATTTCAGTGAGTACCTGTCATCTTGTCATCCACACCCTGGTAGTAAGCAGCATCAGCAGAGTAGGAGTAGCCAACACCAGCTGGCGTCTCCAGGTATATCACATTGGCCTCTGCAGTTTTGTGAGCAACAAACAAACAGCATTACTTACACTAAAACCACCCAGAACATACAACAGAGAATGCAATGCAAAGGGGAATGAAAAAGGGTCAAGAATTGGAATGGGCAGCAAGCAATGCAAAGCTTTTGCTTGCAGTGGAATGAAAAAGGGAAGGCAGCAAAGGGATGATGCCACTCATGGTCTCGCATGGACGTCGTCGGCAGGCACATGACATACCTTTGTTCCAGCTGTATTCATTCTTCACCAGCACCTGCCCACTAGGCCTGAACGGCCCATTCTCTGAGAAGGCCCCTACACCCAGAGACGAGCACCCAGGCCCTACAGAGGCAAAGGAATCTCAGAAAGAGCAAGAATGGAAGAGTAGATGACAAAAACTTGGATCAAGGATTTCATTTGAAACGAGAGAGAGAGAGAGAGAGAGAGAGAGAGAAAAAAAAAATGCAAGACCAGGCTTTGCAATGCATCCAGGTTTCAGTCAGTCAGAACTCAGGGCAGAACGCACCGCCATTGAGCCAGAGGACGAGAGGCTTGGAGGCCGGGTCGACGTCGGCCTCCACGAAGTAGTAGAACAGGGCCCGCTTGCCGCCGCCGTCCACGCCGACGTAGCCGGAGTACTGGCCGAAGCTCACCTCCGGCTGCCCGGGGAGCCGCCTGATCCTGTCCGCGGCGGCAGCGGCAGCTCCGTCGCAAGAACCCGGACGGCACAGCGCTGCCGCGACTAGCACCAGCACCAGCGCCAATGGCCTGCTGCTGTAGCTGGAGGAGCTCACCGGAGCTAGCAATGGCATGGCCATGCTTTCCACTCCAATGGACAGAGTGACAGAGAGCTAGAGAGGGAGAGTGTGTGGTGTGGGTGACTGGAGGTTGAGGAAGAGAGAGGGAGAGGCGAGCAAGAGTCAAGTGTGTTCTTTTGCCTTGAGCGCACAAAAATATTTTCAAAAGATGAATGATTCAGAGGGAGGAGTGGGAGGAGGAGGGAGGGAGAGAGTGGAAGTGGCAGATGCAGGGAGGGAGGGGCCTCTGCTTGGAATTGTTGGAGCACTGGATGGAATGGAATATATATATAGCAGGGGAAAGGGGATAAAAGGTACGTTTTGTTACGACTGTTGGTGTGGTTTGTCAGTCTTTGCTAAACAAATATAAATGCACAGGTTATCAGGATTAGGGTTGGAACAAGAAACAACAGTTCTTTAACTGTTTTTCTTTTTCTGAAAGTCGATTTGTTTCAGCAGACACTCATGAATGCCAAATTGCCAAGACTTCAGATTTCACTTCTGCATGTACTTAGGTCTTGTTGTGAGCACAAGAGTACTGCCATAGTAGTTTCTTGTGAGCAACGGTCAGTCAGAAGATTAGCTGGAAGATGATGCAGCTTCATGTGCGTAATTTGACAAACAAGGCACTGACAAAATAGTAGGTAGAAACAGAAGAAAACTGCAAAGATTTCAAGTGTGGTAGAAGTGTTCACGAGGCCCTTTTTCACACCGGATGAACATTGCCTTTCTCAAATTCTTTTTATGCTCTGTCAGTAAAAAAACACTTACCATCTCTGCACACAGTGATCCACCAGTGGCCAAATATTATTTTAATTACTAGTACATTGGAAAATAAACCTGGAATGAATTGTTTAGCGGGTCACATGACATGAGAGAGAGAGAGAGAGGGTATTGTAGAGGGACAAGATGGACCCAAGGGGGGCAAAAGCCTTTGGTGCATTACAGACAGTAGGCTTTTTAGCTAGGGCTTCCACAGTGGCGCTTTTGTTTATCCTGCTGCATGCCTCGCGCAGAATTGGTGGGCACTGGTCCCCACTTGTCATTGCCATGATTCACAAGCAACAAGTCAAGGTGACCAATTCTTTCCTTCAATTTCTTGTAGTTTCTTTTAGAATAAATAAATTTGTTCGTGTGTATTCACAAAATCACAGCAAATAGGAATATACTGCCGGTACAGTTAGAGTAGTGTATAGATTCACACACTAGGGCTTTTTTTTTTTATGCATGTATATCCACTTCGATCCATATGTGTTGGAGTGGATTGGAATGAAACTTAGTTTAATTTTACTTTAATACATGTGGATTGAGATAAATACATCACATCTAAGGTTGTCTCCAACAGGATACCCATTAGGAAACCCAAACCCAAAATAAGTCTCCAATGCAATACCTATAACCTCCAATAGAGTACTTATATGGAAGACCCATTTTGGGTATCAGGAGAGGTATAACCCAAATTTGAGTATCATCTCTCCTGAAGACCCATTTATAGGAAGGGTTCTCTTTTGGATCTTGTTGTTGGAGAAGACAAAAAAAAATATGTATTGAACCATTTGTCTGTAGCACTATCAAACATAAAATGGGTCTTGTATTTTGGGTAATTGTTGTCGGAGATGGTCTAAACAAGGCCTACGGAGGAACAGGTGCAGGTGACCACCCTATTTCTTCTCTTTTTTATGAAATGATGAAAATTGCATTGGCTGCCTGCCTGCCTGCCTGTTATGATCTCTCCAGCCTGCTTCCCAGTGAAGGTGTGTTGGTACTTGTATTTGTGTCACTTGCCTGCGAGTCTGCAAACACATTTTTACTAGTACTGTATTTAATTAGCTGCATGCCAGCGAAAGATCAGCCAAAATTGTGGGGTGAAGCAACTGTTCTGTGCTTTTTTGTGCACGTCACGGCACGCCCTTCAACACAGAGAGAGTGTGTGTGCTCACATGGCTTAACTGTTCAGGGCCCCGATTGATCAGCAAACAGGAAAAGTCAGCTGTGTTAAATTATTTTAATAAAATTTTCTAAAGCGTTGAAGAAAATTGAAATTAATCTCATGAAACTTTCATCATCTGTAAAATGAATGTAGCACATACAACGATACATTATGTACAAGTAACCCAGAGGGCAGAGGGCACAAGAAGAGGCAGAGGCAGAGGCAGAGGCACAAGGCGGTGGCCTAGAGTGGCATGTGAGCCTGCGCTAATTACGGTTTGCAAATGGACGTAAGCGTCTGTTGTTATCCCGGGAGCGACATTCAGGGGAGCCATCAGGCTTCTGTCTGGTATATTAGAGCCCCCCACATCTTTGTTTTCTTGCCCAAGGGTCTTGTCCATTGAGCATCTCCTTCTCTTTTTCTCTCTTGCAAGGCTGACTGACTGACTGATTGATTGTTGAAGAGAGAGAGAGGTGGCTTTTAGCTAAGCCCCATCCTCAGTGTCTAGCAAATTTTCAGGAAGAAAAGCATTATTATTGCAAATGCAAACACCAAGAAGAAACATGCAGATCTTTGTTCAACTGTAGTATGCAAGAGGGATGAGCTGTACCATTCTACACAAGCATACTTTGTTTCCTTTCAAAGATTGCCGATGTATAAGTTTAGTCCTTGCAATTTTTTCTGCACTGTCAGTTCAAGATTGGCGTCATATTTATCTGTTTCAGGCAGTGAGGGTTCTGTTCTTTTTTTTTTTTGAAGGCAAATAAGGGTTCTGTTTTCGCAAGGGGAACAAAGGTGTTGTTGGAGTTACAGGAACAAGTTGTTAAAACAGCTCGATTAATGTTGTCATATACTCCAACATGAGCTGATTGCTTGGTTTGTCCATCTCTACTCTTAAAAATATAATGATGCATTTACATCTTTTCCTCGCTGCAACTTCAAATTCATAATAACCACAAATGAACAGCATTCAGTTGCACCCATGAGAGTACACATACCAGCATAAACAAGTTGTGCTAAGTACTGCCAGTACAAGCTACCGGCATCAAGCTGCTGGTAAGTAGTAACACACTACTAAAGCTAGCGGGACAAGCCTGCCTGCTGCTGCTGTCTTATAAAAAGGATAAACAGGCAACCCCGTGCAATTATTGAGCTAATACAAGCTGCTCCCAGGCAGCTTTAGGACAAAAACTAATCACGCAAGCACAAGGGACATCAGTGTCTAAAAAGATGCATGGCACCGCATAATCTAAGCGTGTGTGGCCGTACGGCCCACATGCTCTCTCAGGTTAACAGTGCTGAAAGCCTGAAACTGCAGCAGAGGTTTTATGGAGTAGTATAGCCTAGGCGAGCTTCATGCTGCTGCTGCTGCCTTTTGGAGGAGATCACTTGCCTTCTCGAAGACATGCACGCAAAGAGGGATATACTACCGTACTATACTAAAGTCAGGACTCTGCAGTCTTCTAAGTACTCTTGTTGATGCTGCTAATGAAGTGATTTACTGCTCCTGCTAGTAGATATGAAATTAAATTGCATTAGGGCCCTAGCTATTTAGGATAGATTCGGTCGTTATCAAAATTATTTATACCCACTCGAGCATCCGTTCTCTTTTACTTTTTGGACATGGGCGTAGTCGTTCCAATGTTTTTTCTTTATTTTACCATGGTTTCTCTTTTTTTTTTAAAAAAAATTGTGTTAGTTAAATTTAAGGAAAACACAATGATTTGGAAGTTTTGTTTATGAAGAAGCTCTAGTATCGTTTTTATGTCATAAATCTAAGTACTTCGGTATACACATATATATACGACTCAGAGTTCATATACACATTCAAAGAACATAGAGAGCGTATTTTAGTAGCATGCGAGATATTGGATGCATATCGCTCAGCTCCACTCGATCTAGCTCGAGTTGGCTCATTAAGCTAGCGAGCGAGCTCAACTCGGCTCGGCTCAGCCCATTAAGCTACCGAGCTAGCTTGGCCCAACTTGTTCGCTAGCTCTATCTAGCTCGTTTAGCTCATGAGCTATATATATAGTAAGAAAAGCATTGCATACATGTTTTTAATATCCATACATCAATTTCATACCTAATCAATACCAATTTAGCACTAAAACGAAGCAATAAACCATAGATACAAAAGCAGTAGCAAGGGATGGAGATGGGATAGGTGATAGCACGAGACATTTTGCTGCTTGACCTTGGCCAATCCTGACCGACGAGGGTTTCTGATTATATTTTTGTTGAAAGTTTGCATATGGTTCCTCGAACGCCCTCCTTGGCTCCCCACTTATGCGAATGACTCCTCCCCTCTTACCCCTCAACTAAACACCAGCGAGAAACTGGGATGTCTCCAATCCATCCTCCCTCATCCCCTAAACCAAATGCCACCTTATTGTCTAGAGAAAACATCTAGCTATCTACCGTGCGTAGTATTATGCAACACCGTGACTGCATGCAGGAGGGAATTTTTGTGCCCATGCATGTTTTACCGATGCTCCGTATGCATGTAGAAGTACATAGGAGACTATAAGAAACAAGAATACGAAGAAAGCTAAAAGAAGGAAAGGTTTGGCTGGCTCCTTATCCACCCACCCGCGCAATGCATCTTAGCCTCTTCCTCCTCTCTCTCCCGTGGCGATGGCGTCCTACTCCTACCATTCCCCACTCGACGTACGTATCATGTACGTACTATGCCATGTCATTGCTCGGTAGGACGGTGAAGCAGGACAAGAGAAGGGCAATAATTCATCCGAGAACAAACACGTCTCATATGAACCCGGCCCTTTTTTTCTTCTTCTTGGGAGTCCCAGGTGGAGGTGACTGGTGACTGGTGACTGGTGAGGCACGCAGCGAGCAATGTGCCGTGGTGGCATGGCAGCACTCAGCAGCGGGCAGCAGCCGGCAGTACGCCAGGAGCCCAGGAGTACGTACCAAGGGCCAAGGCCAGCACGGCAGCGCCAGGCCTTGCAATGTCAGCAGCCCAGAGGCCCCCGGTCCGGTCGTAGGAGTACCACCCAAAAAAGATTCCAATGCCTGCACGACAGTCTCATTCGTCGCTTAGCGCGTGTTTAGTTCCGAAAAAAGTTCGCTT